CCTCGTCATCAAGCCCTCTCTTGGGTGGTTTAGCGGGGTTGGGTTGGGGCTGGTTAATTGACCGATTGAACGGCTGAATCGAGCCCAGTCGTGAGGCTGGTCTAGCTGCACCAAGCTCGCTGCGTTGGCTTGCCTCGGGCTGCTGGCTTCCCTGTCGCTCTAGTCTGCGCTGATTCTCCAAGCGGCGTTTTTCAATGGCTTGCATGTGGGCGGCCTTCTTTGGATCCTCGGCAGCAAGTCGCTCCCGGCGCTCAGCCTCCGCCCGACTGCGCATCTCCTGACGACGAGCTTCTTCTTGCTGCTGAGCTGCACGCTTCCGTTCCAATTCGCGTCTCTGCTCCTCCCGGCGTCTTGCTTCGCGCTCCTCTTGCTCTCTCTTCCTCTCACTTGCAAGCTGGGCTTTTCTCTGCGACTGACTGGATATGGAGCTCTTGAAACTGCTGTTAGAAGAGGCTGTGTGTAATGAGGTATTGCTAGCCTTCTTCTTCAGAGTCGACGGTTTGGAAGCCGAGGCTGGAGTTGGTGCAGGGACGCTAGACTCTCGCGTGTTGGAAGACACTTGCGACGCTAGCGGCATTTGCCGGGAGAGTGCGCTGCCTACGCGAATAGACACGGGCTGAGGCTTCGGTTTCTGGACCTCGCGAGCCGGCTTGAGAGGGCGACGTTCATTTTGCTTTGATGACTGCTGCTGTGAGACGGAACTTGGTGCGGCAAGTTTGGGACCGGCTTCGATGCTAGACTCTGGTTCCTTGGATGGTTTCTGTAGATGCGATGTCTTTTGCGTCGGCAAAACGGTAGCTGACTCGGTGGTTGGCGCACGAGCTTCAGGGTCAGCGGCCGGCTTCTCCTGTGGCGCCTTGAGTTTCGTGGCTCTCTGTTTCTCCAATTGCCGGGCTCTCTCCGCCTGCTCCTCTTCCCTCTGGCGGTCTTCAAGCTCCTTCTGTCTGCGCTTCTCTTCTCTTTCGGTGGAGCTGCGCGTCCGGCGGCCTTCTTGGCGTGGAGGGCTCGGAGGCTGTGTCGACTGCGGCCGCTGGCTTTCCCTATTACGATCTGTGTCCAATCGTCCTGTATGCCTCAATCTCGGTTGGTCCGGGGAAGCAGATTCGACTCTGGCGGCAGCTGTAACCCCCCCAGTATTCATGAAAAGGCCCTTAGCGGATTGCACGATAGACTGAAGCCGTGACTTGGATGCACTTATCGGACCATCATAGCGCTCGGCCGGTGAGCCAACCGGGGTTGTCGACATCTGGTTATCGATATTTGCAGACGCGCTCTTCTGATGGCCAGGTCGCTGTGGCGATGAGTAGGACGGCGTTGATGACTTTCCACGAGCTGCATCTGAGGCGTGCTTAGAGCTAGTTCTCGGCACCTCCGGGGGATGGACATCTCGTTCCCTATCAACGGAAGGGCGGTCTTCCTCGGCAGCTCGGGCTATCCGAGCACTGGAATATTTACCCAAGCTATCAGCTTTCTGGCTAGCACGTATATCTGGCCGGTAGGGCGAATTCAGTGGCTTGATCCAGTCGTCATCAGCGGCAGAGTCAGGGGCCGGGGTCTCGCGAGACTTCAAGCCGGATGGCTCCTGCTTAGCTTCGGATTTGGCAGTGGGAAGTTCAGGGTATGTCACCTGCGCAGTCGACAGGCCAGGGACGGAAGGAATGGACTTGGTAGGTCGAGAAGGCTGAAGTTTGCCGAGCATGCTGATTTTCTCGTGCAGGAGTTGAGTCGATGACTTGTTGTGAAGCTTGCTGGCTCTAGTCTCGGCATCTCTATCTTCCTCTGTGACATCTTTCTTGTCATCGATATCCATCTTGTCGCCATGGATATTGCTGTCCTCCGCAACATGCTGGGTCGTCCTATGCCCACCGGTCTGTCTGCCCAGATAACCACCGGCGCTACTAAGCTTGTTAAGGTCGAGATGGCTCGTGCGGGAAATTCTCGAGCCTCCCAGGCTCTTCTTCGTCAGCGGTTCGCGAGCTGGGAGTGATGCAAAAGTGAGACTGCTCTTGCGAATCGGCGGGCGTACTGGAGATCCTTCCGAAGGTGAGCCGATTTCATCGAGACTATCGAGGGCCATGTCGTCATTTGCGTCATCTTGGTCGTCCTGATGATGTTCGCGGGGTTGCGAAGTTGCATTTGTTGGCGGGCTCGATTTCGTATCCTTAAGCGGACTAGATACTGGCTTTGGTGCGGCTTTCTCCGTGGGCGGGGATTCGCGTCTGGGCGTGGCTTCGGGCTCTTCTTCGGGTTCGGGTTCTTGATGGGCCTGAGCGTTTGGTTCTGCCTCTGGTTCCGGCGCATGTTCAGGTTCCAGGTCAACGATGCCCTTACGCGCCGGCTCTTGTTCTGAGTCCACGTCTGACATGATTTTATCTTCAGGTTCCTCCTCAGGTTGCGGTGGTGCCTCATCAACATCCTCTGTATCCTTCGTCGGTGACTTTTGCTTCTGAGGACTTGTGCTAACATTCCGCTTAGGCGATGATTCAGTTACCTCAGGCTCAACTGTTTCTTCGCGTTGGTGCACATCCTCGCGAGCGGAGTGGAAAGACGCCCCTGTAGTACGGCGTTCTTCATGCGGTTGGTGGATTTGCTCTTCGGCAGCACCAGGCTCTTGGTCCATGGGCTGAGTAGAGGATTGCGACTCGGGCTGCACTTGTGTAAGGACCACATCATCTTCTTCCTCTTCTTCGTCCCTCTCGTCTTCCGGCATGCCGTGATAGCCCGAGTCCGTGTTGTATTGCGGGAAGGAGTTGAGGTTCTGGGTCAGATCTGGGTACTCGGGTTGTGATGTGTCCTCCGTGGTCTTCTTGGCTTCCGTCGCAGTAGCTGGACCTGCAGCCGCAGTGACGGGCTTGGTTGGTGAGCGCTGAACAGCCGGGCTAGCACTGAATTTATTCTCCGTCTTGCTGTTGTTGTTTGCGGATGAGAAGATCTCGCTCAGGGGCTGGGAGCAGTACGTTAGCAGATATCAGGTGCGCAGAAAGTAGCTGGTATAACGCACCACTCGAGATTCGTTCGCATCCCGCTTCCGCACTGTACGAGGCGTTTTACCTCGTAGCTTTCCCGGGGTTTTGAAGACATCTGCAAAATTGCTATACAGCAGTAAGCGTCAACAACTATGCGTCAAGCCTGTAGACTGGCGCGACCCACGATTGGTTGTTGGAGAAAACCTCGGCCATATGTTCATTCAGCCAATCCATCTCATGGCGCACTGGGTATTCAATCTCCTCCATTTCCTGATCCACCAGCTGCATAAAATTTTCCTTTTCGGTTGAGATCCACGCTGCAGAGCCTACAGGCTTCTGCGCCCTCGCGCCTGCCGCGGCCATGGCGACGTAAACAAAGCGATCGCACAGCGGGTTGACTGAGTACTATGAAAGGGGCGTAAATGATCGAAGGGCACGGGAGCCCGGTCTAAAATATAGCGAGAGACAACGATGGGAACATCGAATAGTGGTGGAAAGGCGATAAGAGTTGACGGTCGACTGGTGAGCTGAAATGGCCTGTCGTCGGGAGTCGAGCATCAAAACATCGGCAAACGCGTGAGTCCCGCCATGGCACGTGACGGTGCATCATACTTAGTGCCTGATATCGAAGGCATCCACGTCCTGGTTTAGGCAGGATAGGAAATCAATCATACACCAGACACAATCATCACTCATGGAAGGTGCAATGCGGAGTAGCTGCAAATAACCCCTGAGGCGTTTCTCTGGCCATTTTGACTTTTCTGGCTTGATTCTACGGTGTATCTACCTATTTTCCACTCCCCTTTCGATAAGCATCGCTAGTCCCGCCCTATTGAACCATGTTGGTACCGCTCATTCGAGAGCTCTCCTTAGACCAGGAACTGACGTGGGCGGAGTGTTTCTTCATGTAACAAGTGAAGGTCCCTTGCTGTGCTCATGGGACTCACATGAGGATCACTGCACCGCCAGCTGTCCCTGTGCACAGTGCACAGATCTAGACTATCCACCAGCCTCCAATATGTACCATACCGGACCGGGCAATTTCACAATCGCGAGGTGACGGAGGAACCAGTCAATGTTCCGCGATAAAGAGGAGAGATGGCGTTCTTTTCCATCGGTCTTTGGAACCATTATCCAACGTTGACCACTTTATGACCCGGTCATGACATCATCTCAGAGTGCAAAGGGTAGCGGTACAGAGAGTTCGTTAATCCATTCTTGAACTCGGTAACAGAACAGCAAATAGCCAGAAGCTCGCTGGAAAAACCCGATGGGAAAGTCCGGGGCGTTACTCAAGCATCGAGTGAGTTGGGAACTTTGCAGGTTTTCTGCATGGGAAAGGCAGAGGATCCCGGATGAGGGAGGAGAACCAAAAGGCCATACATAGCTGGATGGGTGATGGAATGGTTCGAGTAGATCGTAAGTAGGATAGTCAACCATGGAGCCAACACCTACTTACTTCAGGTAGACTCGTGTATCGGAACCCCTTGCATTACGCCCACACCGTCTTGAAAGAGGGATGAGAAACTGATCATTAATATCCAGGAGCTCATTAGCTAGATAGATCACTAACCTGTGGACAAGACAATACCTTGTAGTTTAGTTAGTTAACGGCTGGCCAGACTAACTAAAAGATAGTCCGAAACACCGGGTCCATCGTCACATGCGGGCCCTTTCCGCTTGGAAGGCGCGAGAAAAAGGCCAAAAACCAAGCAAAGCAAAGCAAAGCAAAGCAAGCAAGCAACTCAGCACACGATCATTGCATCACCCGCTCCTCTCCTCTTTCTCTCCCTCTCTCTCTCTCTCTCCTTATCCTCCCGCCCATTCTCACCCCTCCGTCGCCAACTCTCTAAATTTTCCCTTTTCCTTTCCTTCTTGCCTCGGTCGTTCTCTTCGTCTTCCCTTGTATTATTTAATTTCAACCCGCCTTGAAACTTCCCCTGAACCCGCTCTCTAGTCCCCGGCACTTTCCTCCTTATCTTTTCCTCCCGAAAATCCTCCAGACCTTCCGAAACGCACACACGACTTTCCACCATGGCTGACGTGAGCTATCCCGACACAAATGGCCACAGTAAGGTACGAGCAGTCGCCGGTTTTCGTGTTATGCTGTTTTGTGAGGACGCATTGAAGCTGATTTAGTCTCTGATCGCAGTTCCGAATATCCCACGCACATGCTCCCAGTGTAGGTTACACGAACTGACCATTACTCCCTCGCTTAGGCGCACTCGCAAAGGGTAAATAGCTGGCTCCAGGCACACCTGCTTCGTGTTTACCGCTCGAAATTGGTGACTTCATGACCAATTGATCTGACTATCCCTCGATTTAGGCCCCATTGCCGAGAACATAAAGTCCGAGGCGTCCCGCACTGGTCAAGAATTCCGCGACTTGAGGAACACTAGCCCTTCATCTACCACTGCGACCGGTCAACCCTTGACCTGTACGTTATGACACAGATCAGCTTGCAGGCGCTCTCTGCTGACCCTGTCCAGACTACCACTCGCTGCTGTACAGCCTTTTGAGCGTATGTGATCCTGGATGCCGCCAGGCGCGTCGCCGTCTAATTGATTGTTATAGTGGGAGCAACCCCGAGCTACCGCCATCTCCTTCGCGAGTGTCGTCACATTCATCTTCGCCGCCCGTTACCTTCCCCTCCTCCGTTGGTTCTTCAAATTCATCTATGTGGTTCTGGGATGTAGGTTTAATCGCGGGTCCCGCACACGAACAACATCATATGCTGATCGCGGATTGTACTAGTCACCGCTATTGTCGAGGTCGGCGGCAGACTTGCTCTGTCACAGAGTGTCGTGAGCTCGTTCCGGCCTCGCAAGTACTACACCGTGCCCAAGGAGACGATCGAGGCTGTGTTGGAGGACCTTGAGCAGCTCATCGACTTTGTCCTCATTGAGTTCCAGCGTGTTCTGTTCGCCGAGAACATTGTCCACACCATTGCCGTACGTTTAAACAATTCACAGTTCCTTGCGACTCGGGCCAATACTAAAACAATGTGCAGTCTTTCTTTGCCGCTTTCACCGCCTACTGGTTGATCAAGTTCCTTCCTTTCTGGGGACTGTCTTTGATTGCGGTCACCATCGCCTACATGGGACCCTTGGTCTACATCAACAACCGTGAAGTTATCGATGCCCACATTGAGCACGCGCAGGAAGTTGTCAACAGCCAGGCCCACCAGCTGAAGGATCTTGCTGAGGAGCGCACTGCCCATGCCACGGGTGTTGTGAGGCAGTATGTTGGTGACTACAGCGCCAAGGCCCAGGGATACATGCGTCGCTCTGCGACCCCCGAGATGGCTCGGGCACCCGCCCCCGTTATCAAGAAGGAGCCTGAAGCCGAGCCCGAGATCAAGACGACTGACTTCCCGGAGGCACCCAAGGAGGAGCCCGTGGCCGCCCAGGAGCCCGTTGTGGAGACGATCGAACAGCCTGCTGAGCAGGTGAAGTCGGAGCCTCTTCTGGCAGCTTAGGGAACCGAGGCCTTTCATGCAGGATCGGCTATTGGTCGGGATTAGTCGGATGATGGACTTGTGGGAATTGCGGGGTAGGTGCAGGGGTGATAAGAATTGGTAGCAGTGACATCCAAGTAGGATGGATTGGTTGGGTGTATGATGACTAACCGGGAGGATGCGTTTCGAGGGTTTGCGGACAATAATTGTATGTTTCTATGCTGGCTGCGAATTATGCTGCAACTTGTCGAATGTAATCACCGTATGACTTGATTTTCTGTTCGATTAAACTTTACCTCGGATTTAGTGTCTGTACTACGGAGTAGTGACGTAGGCAAGACAGTCGGGAGTATGTTGATACAGCCCAGCGTTTCGAGTCACAATATATATTGCGCAATGGGTACATGATATAAAATCCCAACGCATGGCATCATGGAGTAGTTTAAGTCCATATGACAACACTCAATGTCTTACTACATAGTAGATAGGTGCAGCCCTACGATACTTATATTCACGGGGCCGGACCTATGGGGCCTATGTACCTAAACTAGCCTGAGCGGGAGCGGCAACGGGAACCAAAAAGACTAGCACGTAATATAGTAGCTATACCGAAAAAGTAAATACAAAAAAAGAAATTACTGTGCATCATCCGTGAATCGAACACGGGCCTCATCGATGGCAACGATGAATTCTACCACTAGACCAATGATGCTAGTTGATGGAGAAACGGTCCTTATATTATACTATAGCCCAGCAACACATACAGCGAAACACGCACCCAGTATCCGTGCACCTGGTTCAAATCCCGAACGTCAACAATTACCTACCTAGTACCCCTGAAACCTTCTATTCGATCTTTTACTCCATCTCCAATGATATACTTCTGTATATATACATGCCAAGCATATATACAATACTCTTAGTCAACCCCTACTAAAAGCAGCAATTAGGCAAAGAAGCCAAGTAATCTAGGTTAGTTATGCTCCCCGCATCCCGACATATATTTATATTTGTCACAAGGCAACTAGTACACAGACATCATGGATGTTTTGCATGCAGGACATGAATCAGCAAACTTTCAATGCAAACTTCAACCGTCAATATAATAAGATTGTGCATACACGGTTACGCCACACTCATGACTGCTTCTATTTACCTAGTTATGTCACTAAAAGGAGGGACAAAAGGGTACTAAGATGAAAAGGGAAGAAAAGAGGGTCTAAAGGTAAGTAAATAAGTAGGGAACAATATCCCACAAACATAGTCACATAGTAGTATTCTTAACCATCGTAGTAAAGCCGGATGTATGAGCCAAGTATCGATTCAAACCCCGCAAAATGGAAGATCCAAACCCCAGAAAAAGAAGCAACATGGCTTAGCTGAAAAAGCTTCTGCCTCTGCATTAGCCAAGAAAAACCGAACATGACAGCCAAGTAATCAATATACCGGATAAATAAATAATTGAACGGCGCTTCAACTAAAAGCATATCTAGGGATGGATGGATGAGTGGATGGATGTATGTACACGCAAGCAGGCTAGTTACCATTGCCTGAGAATGGAAGGAGAAGAGGCCAATGCACGACATCTTTCTATGTATCTCTCTGTTTAGTTGTATAATGTAGTTGCAGTAGTGAAGAGTACCACAGAGTAAGAGCATCTTCTTACCCCGCGACAACAAACCAAACCAAACCTGTTTCCACCCTCCATGAAACTGGGAACTGGAGGGGTTTGTGCCTTGCAAGTGTCAGTTGAAACAGATTCTGGAGCAAGGCAGGTGTAAGATCTACCAAGATCTGAATGAAGGCCAAAGCACACGGAAGAACACTGCAAGGCATCCCTTGCTTTTTCGAAACAAGATCTGAAGGTTAAAGAGAGTTGGCAGGCTTGGTAACTCGGTGCCTTTTTTCTTATTCTTGAAGGTCGAGTTGGTATAAGAGGTGGGTATGTTTCCTCCTCTTCTCAAACCTCTGGGATCATGCTCATGGCCATTGTCTATACTACTGAGCTATCTTCATATTCAGGATTCCCCCTTCTGCGGGCTGGTTCGATTAGTTCTTCTGTATCTCGTTATGTACACCAACTTTTCGTTTCAAGTCTTCAACTTCATCCCCCCGTCCCCGTTCCCCTCATTATATATGTACCTGAAAAAATCGCAACCGAAAAAAAGATGAAGAAGGGAAGACAAAACATGTATCCTGGGGTTGATGGTGCTCTCGCCGCACTGGTGAAAATATTAAGTAAGTATTATGGTATATGAGTATGTCCCTTCTTTTAGGCCGTTCCTCCCAATAACCGCATTACATGAATGACGAGGACAAAAGAAACAAGGAAAGAAAGAAAGAAAGAAAGAAAGAGGAAGACACGACCGTCATCACGCCCTGCTAAAACCCCAACCGGACCCGAGAAACAAAGGAAACAAGGAAAACCCATAACAAAGGGAAGAGAAGTCTAATAATTAAAGTAGTATGGATGTGTGCAGCTCCCAAGATCTCCGGAAAGCCCCATAACAGGTAAGGACTGCTGTGCTTGGCTGTGTGGGTAATACTTCATTGAATAAGGATTGGCGTCCAAGGTTGTTGTCGCGGCTGCTGCCGCTGCCGCTGCTGGCTCTTGGTGAAACATGGCTCCCCCGGTGAGGTCGAGAGGGTAGTCGCCCTCACGGTGACGCTTAAGCGGCGCGAACGAGGCCGATGCGTCGGTATCCCATGCTGTAGGGATAGGAGGCTTGCAGGGGTCTGACGCCTTCGATGTGGGTGGCTTTGACGTGAGCGGGGATGTGGTGGCGGTGGACGGGAAGACGGATGTGTGTGATTCGAGATCAGGAATTTCCTTCCTATAGACGGGATTGCTTTCCTTGAGGGCCTGGGTGGGTGAGCCCAGAGTTTGGGAGTCGGTGAGCTCGGGGAGGTGGACGCGGGAAACGCAAATCACGGCGGAGCCATCTGCAGTTGCTAAGTATGAGACATGTCCAAAAGGCCCAATAGTGGATGGAAGGCGCTTACCTGTTCGACCGTCTAGGTATCGTTCCTCCTCCTCTCGTACGTGGTAGATCTCATCGAGCACGGGAATGCGTTCGACGGGAGCGATCTGGCGCCGAACAGACTGGTCGGCTTCCTTCAGTTTCTCCACGCAGATAGCGTGACTTTCACGCAGCTCGCAGAGGATATGGACAAGCAGGCGAATACGCTCTATAATCAACGTTAGCGCGACTGATGGACAAAGCAGAGTGATGGAACTACACACCCGCTTTCAGAAGATGATCTGGTTCACGGTGAGTAACACCAGCCGGCCACCAGGCTGGCTTGGTCAGCTCAGGGTCAAATTGCTGCGATGATCCGGATATGATCTTGCGTCCATTGTATGGATAGTTGACTTGTTTCCGGGGCTCCACGAGCTTGATGTATGCTTTGGCCAGGATGCGACAGTTGATCTGCTGCAGGCTGTCAAAAGCCTTCTCGTAGTATCTGCGCAGAAGGCCAGTGTTGCGCACGGGCAGCATGGACTTCTGGTGACAGGTGATGCTCATGGGAACGAGGCATTCATGGGATACCCGCTTCCTTTTGGACTGAGGAGGTTCTGTGGTGGAGTGGAACCTGAAGATGATCAGTGGTTGGGTCGCGTTGAGATTGAGAAAGGGCGCAAGTACATTTGTTTAGCTGATAGATCGCTGGCGCTGGGAGATTCTGGGGAGAGTGGGCTTCTGCCTCTGATGTCTTCTGTTGTTGTGTTGGTGTCAACAAGGTATCCGTGCGAGACGTCGACAAGGAACCCTACCGAGCATTTTGGATGGATCACCTTTGCCCGACAGTGCCACCGCACGCAGAAAGTTTTCAGTCACGCTGGGAGAGAGGATCGTCTGGCAGTTATTCGCGATGGATTGCGAGGCCTCGAAACGTAATTTGCCATTGTCGTCTATGTAGATGAGGGCGAAGTGCATACAAGCCAGCCCGTCTAATGGCGCATCCATGGACACGGGAGTGTGAGACTGGCACGGTCAGCTTGCGTTGCCATAACAATCGCCACAGCCATCAATCATACCATGGAAGCAGAAAACAAGAGATTTGAATGTGATGACTCTCAAGGGATCAAGGTATACTTTTCAGTGGGATGACCTGTAAGAGTTCGATCAGGCTTCTGGTCGCAGTCGCGCAGGAGACAGAGAAGAAGCGTGTACAGTTGAAAGAAGTGAGACTCAGAAGCAAGGCACGAGAAGGAGCATTTTTAAAAGAACAGGACTGAGGCAAGAGGCAAAGACCAGCAATATTGCAAAGAGAATGGGGGGAGTGGCCAATAGATCCACTCGCCGTGTTAAGCTTACCGGATCGTCCTCAACCTGGGCTTCAGCTTCGTTTCGTTTCCGGATCCGCGACGCCCCTCATGCAATCTTATATGCGTGCGCGAATATATTTCCTGTCTCTATTAGAAATTATTAAACCGTTGGCTCGCCTCCAGGACCGCGTCCGAAAAGGAAGGAAAAAGCAACTCAAGTTCAGACTAGGCTATAGTACTTCCAGTACACCGTAATGATGGACCGTCGCAACCAGATCAATGGATCGGCCCAAGCTGTGTCACTAATGTGCGTGGCCCTATGTGGCACAGCAGCCGACGGGTCCTTATCCGCTCGCATGCATTTGGGCGTAGGAACTAATGCTATGCTGCGTCGTTGCTTCCAATCACCGAGCTCGAGAGAGAGGGTCAGGTTGAAGTCCCGTCCTGCTGGCAGTCTTGGAATAGAGAAAGTGGCTAGCTATCAGAGTGGATCTTTCATGAGATTGTTTCGCCACCCCCGGTTGGTCATATCTCGAGATCATAGTCCCATTTCCCCAAGCTGGGGTTTGTTTGGTTGCTATGGAATACGCCTTGTGGATGAATCTGTGTTGTGTACGGAGTAGCATGGACACTACCATTTCAGACAGTCGTGCCGTAGCAGGTTATGCCACCTGCTAGCAAGATTAGCAAGATCGCCTCGAGCCGAGGGTCCAATAGGTCCGCTGGCGCATTAATGGAGGCTGCAATACATACTCTATCTCGTTCGATAGCATGCGGATGTGCCATTTCGTCTGCCTACCTTTTCCCATTATGGAAGACTTCGTGTCTTATTTTCTCCTATCTACGCGATTGCTTCTTCCAGATATTGCTTTATTCTACCGAAACACCCTCCCCTTGCCTGATGCGTCGGGTGTCAGACAGAGAAAGGTGCAGTTTGTCCATCCATGGTTCGCTCTAAGATCCGACCTGGCTGGCCGGCGGGGCAGACGCTGTCACCAGATAGTAGCCAACACGCCAGGCACCATATCGGATTATCCCGAGGAGGACATTTGTCATGGTACTAGCAAAAGTCAATAGCGGATGGTCGAGTACCGTAGGCCCGGAGTGGCTGGAGGGCAATTCGTTCTACGTGGACCACCGAATATCTCAAAGCGATGCACCGGACATGCGACGGCACCTCCCACTTCCGGTGGTCACCCATTTGTCAAAAGATTCCCAATGCGGGTTTCCCGATGTGTATACGGATGGAGTCGAGGATCATGAGTTGACCTAGCATTGACAGAGGTGCCAGTCCAGACAGGAAATTATGCGATACCTATTACATACTGGGGTCGGAAAACAGTTGCGAGGCTGCCGTGACCCATAGCGGCGACTATCACTGTTGTACCGCATCATATTCGATGTTTGTCTTTTTTCTCCATTTGGATATCCGGACAACACAACGCCATTGCTGGCCATCGTTCCTGCTACCCACATGGCAGATGTCAGGTAGTGACTTGGTCGAGTCTAGATCAAAGGCAGCCTTGCCACATTGCGGTACTTCGTGGCTATAATGAGCTTGCTGTTGGGATGCCCAAGCCAGTGTCCCGAAAACCTGGAGGGTAAAATTACAGCATTACCCTGGGTTTGTTGGAAAAGAGTGCAGATGGAAAGAATCTAGAAAGAATCGAATGATTTTCAGCAGAAAAAAGAAAAAAAGAAAAAGAAAGAATAAAAGAAAAAGGAAAAGAGAAATAAATCTTCAACAAAAAAGAACTAAACACTCACACAGTACTCCGTAGCTGGACCCTTATGGGGACGTGACGGAGACGGTTGCCGCAGGCCCACCAAGGCCATTGGCCCTTTTGCCTTCGGATCATGTCTGATCGAACGATGGCTGAACCGATCCTGACGCGACGGATGGGAGCCCCGCCTCTGCCGAGACAAGGTTGTGACAGATCGCGGCCAAAGAACCCACCTGTGTGTGTGTGGTCAGAAGCAACCATCGGCGAACAGGAGGATGCCTGAGCGTACTGGGAGCACCTAATTCGCGATAATCCCGCCAGAACCGAGGAAACTACCGCGGCATGCCTGGCCTGCAACCGAATGTCACAGAGGGCCATTCAAGATAAGCACCTGTTTAGAAAATCCCAAACCCGTTGATGAAGTAGTACGGCCCTATCCGCCTGTTCCAGGTGTCGTTGGGAGGGGGACGTACATCTGTTCGGTGTATGATGTGTCGGCCGGCGAGACTGCAGAGAAGTGCATATTGCATATGATACGGTGACCTGTCACGGTGGCTGAACGCCCGACATGCATACCGGAGAGCTTCCGGAAGTAACGAGCAATTTATTAACCTACTGAGTACGGCCGAGGTTCCCTATTGTCATGGTTTATAAATAAATAACATCGGTTCGACGAGGAAAACTTTGCTGCAGGTGGGACGGAGCCTTCATCCAAAACTATTGTTGGTGATGGCTGCGCCAGAGGGTAGATCATCGACAGATAGTAAGCTGCCAGTCAACTGACAGGCAGGCTGCCTGATTGTTCACATGATTCATAGTGTGCGCTCCATCCCCAAAGATGCTGAAGGTTCGGGCCATGTCGGTCAAGTCTGTGCTTCTGCTAGGTTGGTGCTATAATCTATGACAGCTTGGCTATCGAACCTTCCGAGTCCTGGAGGTATATCAATTCCGTGCATCACTATCAGAATAGAGAGAGAGCTGAAAGTCAATAAGCTTACTTACCCTGGTCAATAATGTTTGCAGCTCATCTTAATTGCCTTGAGGTAATACGCCACGCCACGCCACGGCATGGATGCTGTCATATGTACTTGCCGACATGAATGGCACGAAGCGGAAGAAGTACCCCCGGATTGTTATTCGTATATGAGGACTACTACTTACTGAATTGTGGTGTTGGTGAGTAGGTATGGAGAGAACGAGCTTCTGATTTGTAATTCAAGTGATTGGTCAAGTTGAACTGGACATGCCCGATTGGGAAGAATTCCCCGATGTGGCAGGACAAGGCCTCGCAGACGATAGGAGGTGGATTTTCCATGTTTAGTAGATAGCTGGAGGTTGCCCAGTCATGACGACGCCCGCGTTTCTAGAAAGTTGCCAGTTCTGTGAAGGAGATCCACTCGGGGGTGCCTGTCGGGTGTCCCATAGTTCGTCCTGGATTCGTCGTACATTTGTTGAGTTCGGGTTGCTGCCGGGAAGGTATCGCTTTGAGAGGTCATCCCAGAGCGAATGTAGCGGTATGGATGCCGTGTATTGACTGCATTGATAGGCTATAAGCTGAGACTGTCTCTTAAGTAGCTGGATCTACCAACTTAGAACGGTTCATGCATGAAGAGCTTGGGAAAACTCGATCGAGGCCAATGACCGATCGCTGTTGGGGAAAGTGAGAGTATTAATGTAATTCAAGCATGTTCACATCTTCGTCGTGCTATCGAAACAAGCCAGTCAACTGAAGAGAGATCCTTTATATTGTTCGGAGAGAAGAGTGAGTGGGTGATGGAAGTAAGCTCAGTCAAGTTGAAAGCTGGAAGTCTACCTGCTATAGATGGAGGATGCCTCAGGTACCTGGCGTATACTGGGGTGTTGTGGTATGTTACCTTAATAGTGAGTTTGTAACAATACGTAATCTTTTTGCCGAGAATGTAATCATATGCACTAAATATACTATCAATCAAGAAGTTAAACAATACGTTACATGTTATATACACGTATGATTACGACAACCACGATATTTGGACTTGCGGCCACCTCTTCCTTTTTTCCTTTCCTCTTTTCTTCCTCCTCTCGAGTCACTTCATACTCGGGGAGAAATTGCGTTTGATTCTTTTTCATCAAAATCTCTCTGGTTCAGGCTGTCCTGCATCACGATCCACCTATCCATTGTCAATCTCTGACCGCACTGGGTGCCTTTCATTGACTTTCTACGACGGTATCTACGTACTAAGTAAGTACTACCGGAGTACATTCTCCCCCCATCCGTCCCCTGTGTTCTCTCTCACACACTCTCTCCTCCACTCCACCGCCCGGACGAATCCCATCCAGTGCATTAGTCCGTCCGCCCCAAGGCTGATCGCAACTCGACGGGCCAGCAAATCTCTTTCCTTCCTTTCCGTCCGCTCACTTGACTTGACTTGACTTGACTCGACAACTGCGGTCACAACTGAGGATTCTGACTTGTGACTAACGGATTTACTTTTGCCAGAGGTTACACTAACCCACCCTGACTAAGTTGTCGCTTTCAGGGTCTGTCCTTCCCATCTGCCGGCCCTTCTATTATCCCACACCCCCCTTCTTGAGTCTCTTCTGGCTGTCGTGTCCCCATCGGCCAATCACCGCCCCTCTGTTTCCAGTTTAATTTTATTATTTTGGCCCTTTCATATTACCCTTTTCTATCTCGTCGTGGATCGTTCCAGAAAAGAATATTCTACGGAATTAAGCAGCGCAATCGCCAGGACACTAAGTCGTTAGAGGAATTGGCTTAGTGTCTCATCCCGCCCATCCCTGGATTCCGGCGAGTCAGAGTGTGCGACCGACATTGACTGTCGCTGCTGCGGACCTGATCCGTGGAAGTTTTTAATTTAATCAGAAACATTAATACCAAAAGAAAAAAAAAGAGAAGAAAAAAAAATTAGAAGAGGAGGACAAAGGAAAAAAGAATTAAAAAATAACGAAAAAAAAGAGAGAAGAAAGCTTGTGGCCTGGCCCAACCATTGATTGACCTTCCTCCTGCTCTTATCGACCGACATGGACCCCAACGTTCCCGGATTCCCTTCTGCGATGCAGCAGACCGCGGGTTTTCCTGTCACTCCCCAAAATCCACAGCAGTTCCCCTACTATCCGAATGCCATTCCCCCGTTTCCCCAATCCAAAGCTGTCTCTCATCCTCCACAGCAACAACACCAGCATACTCCTTTCGGTGCCGTGCCCATGCAAGCCGGTCCTAGTGGAGCAATGATGCCGTCCGGATTCCCCCAGCAGTCATCCGGTACGTCGGGATCTTTCCTTTAACTCCCCTTGGCCTGTTATCTCCAAGCTCTTTTTCTCTGTCGCGACTGTTTCGCTACTTATTGTATTTCTTTGATCTCCCTGAGGCCTGTCATCGCTTCCCCACCTTTGCCCCTTTGATCTACACACGGCTGCTCCATGGCGCCGGGTTCTTTTTCCCATACTGAATCCACTGGACCTTGCCTGGTCTAGTAGTTCAAGTACGTGTGTGTGCTAATGGCCTGACGCGTATCCACATTTGCGCTACGATTGCCCGTCGTCCTCTTCCTTCATGTGTTGTTGTTCGTTGTTTCCTTTTCCCTCCTGGCCAAAGTGCGCAGGCGACGTTGGCCGCAAGGACTAGCCGCTAACCATCCGGATGGACTAGTAGGACCCCACGCCAACTTCTCTGCACCATTTGCCCAGCCACCTGTGCCAGCAACGTCTATGAGCCAGTATCTCCCTCCCCAGGCGACTGCGACATCGACTCTTCCCGCAACTACAGCGCAATCCTTTCCGCCCAACATGGCTTCGGTACCGGCGACGAACATGATGCCTGCGCAACAGCAACAGCAACGGGCAGCGCCCCAGCAGAACCCATTGTCGAGCTCCGCCCAACCTACTCCTCAGTCACCTGCGACGACCGCGCGCGAGAAAGCTCGTGTGTCTACGCTGTTGGACATAAACTCGATGTTGCTGCAGGAAGTCATGAATCTTCAGGCGGCTGGCAAGGCTGGTGCGCCTTCGCAAGGCGCGTCAGAGTCGAACCCGTCGCCTGGTTCAGATCAGACCTCGGATAAGCCCACCCAGCGGCCAAGCGCAGAATATCTCGAATGTATGCGTCGGTTACAAGCCAACTTAGGGTACCTTGCAACCATTGCCGACCGGGCTAAGAAATCAGGGGGTGTTCCTCCTGCCGCACCGGCGATTATGTCACCGCCTCCGAACATGCCTTCAATGAATGAGATCTACAACAAACTAAACGAGCTCTTCCCTCGGGCCGCGCAAGGTGGTATAGGGACACCCCAGCAGAGTCCACAATCATTGCATGGCAATGGCCGGCCCAGCCCTTCTCCAGCCGTTGAACACGTTGTTTGAAGAGGTCATATCGACAACAAAACATGATGTGTTGCGCGTAGTGCGAGCTCTATGGGGAGCTGAGCGTACTGGCTCAAGGTAGAGAGCAATCGACCGTCGCTCCTGCATCCCGCCTATACGCCCATGGTTGCACGAGGCCCCTGCCCTGACCGGCTTTTCACTCAAGTCAAGCCTCGAGTTACGATCCGACGAGCCTTCAAATGGGCATCGTGCGCGTCTATATTGCGCCACAAACTCTTCTCTCAATGATGAGCCATCAGATGAAGCCCACAGTCCAACTCAAGGCAGCTCTCTATTTGAAGAAAGAGGTACTTGATATACTGGGTACTTCTAATTTAGAGTCGTGAAGCGTTGCAAGATACACAAACAGTGTTGGCGACCAAATGGGACGAACATGTGAACATTAGCACCAGAAGTGGATGGTAGCTACGAACGATGGGGAGGCGGAGGTCCGAGTGTACGATAGAGTCTGGGGATATAGAATCGTATATTATAGAGATATATATATTTACTGCACGGTACTGCATTGCTATTGTAGAAAACTTGTTTATGGAGTAGGATCGCATGAATTGCTGGCCTGAATGATCAGGTCAGAAGACGCCGCAGCTCCGCCGGGCCAGGGCCAATCAGAGGGCGTCAATCGAGGTGTCCGCCCGGTTCCCTTTTCAGTTCTGTCTGCCACTGCAGCTCGCCTGACTTCAGTTCCTTTTCTCCTCCTTCCTCACGGTCCTCGTCATCCGCCCCTCGCTGTTGCAGTCTCTCTTGTTAGGGGGTCTTGTGAATGTCTTGCGTCTGGCTCCACATCCACAGAAGGAGCCTACTGTCTGTCGCTACGAACAATTCTGTTGCGAGGGCCGCTGCCTCTACCTCCGCCGCGCCGCCGCCGCCGTCATCGCCGCCGTCTCGTTCTAATACTTATACGCCTCTTCATCGCTCTATCGCCAATCCCATCGGATATACCCTGTCGCCTGCGAGGTCAGTAGTTACTCGCAATCCTAGAGTTTCTGCCTATTGGCGCTCTAGTCGACACTTTTCTTTGTGCCCGGCCGCTGCAGCGCCCGGTGTCACCACGAGCATCTGCCCTAGTCAGGCGCCCATCCGCTCTCTCAGCTCGCTCATTATACACTCTACCAGACCCAGTGGTATACGTTCTCGTGCAGACCCGATGGATTTGAACGGAGATGCAGGCGCCAAGCGCAAGCGCAGCTCTATCACCGCACCCGCTGAACGGCCCGTAAAGCACCTTCGCCCCGAATCGAGCGCATTGACACCTGGGGATTCGACGCCCGCCAATGGGACGGTATATGATGTGGAGGATGATGAAGATGCGGGTCGTCTGCTGCCTGTAGGGCCTGCTCAGGCTGATTCGCCGGAATGGCAAGCTACCATAGAGGAGGTTGTGAAGAGCGTTGTATCTATCCACTTCTGTCAGACCTGCTCCTTTGACACGGAGCTGTCTATGAGTAGTCAGGCTACTGGGTTTGTGGTGGATGCAGAGAATGGATACATTTTGACAAATCGACACGTGGTTTGCCCGGGACCTTTCTGGGGATACTGTATCTTTGATAATCATGAGGAAGTAAGTTGTGCTCTCTCCGCATGTGGATCTTTCTTGGGACAGGAATGCTGATTCGTATTGGTTACGTTAGTGCGACGTCCGTCCCGTGTATCGGGACCCAGTACACGACTTTGGAATTCTGAAATTCGATCCAAAGGCTATTCGATATATGAAACTGAGGGAGCTGAAACTGCAGCCGGATGCAGCTAAAGTAGGATCTGAAATTCGCGTCGTTGGTAATGACGCAGGAGAAAAATTGAGTATTCTGTCTGGTGTCATTAGTCGACTGGATAGAAACGCGCCCGAATACGGCGATGGCTACAGTGACTTCAATACGAATTATATCCAGGCCGCTGCAGCAGCTAGCGGTGGAAGTTCCGGCAGTCCTGTAGTCAACATTGATGGTCATGCGATTGCTCTGCAGGCCGGTGGTCGTGCAGACGGTGCAGCGACGGATTACTTCCTCCCTCTGGACCGACCTCTACGCGCACTGGAATGCATCCGTCGCGGAGAGCCTGTCACGCGTGGAACGATTCAGACGCAGTGGATTCTGAAGCCATTCGATGAGTGTCGTCGGTTGGGCTTGACGCCCGAGTGGGAGGCGACCGTGCGTAAAGCAGCGCCCACGGAAACCAGCATGCTGGTGGCCGAGATCATTCTGCCTGAAGGCCCGGCGGACGGAAAGCTCGAAGAAGGAGACGTGCTTCTGCAGGTCAACGGGGAGCTTCTCACCCAATTCATCCGGTTGGATGACATCCTAGACTCGAGTGTTGGGCAGACAGTGCATCTGCTCGTTCAAAGAGGCGGTCAGAATGTGGAGATTGAGTGCCAGGTTGGCGACCTGCATGCCATCACGCCCGACCGGTTTGTGACGGTGGCTGGAGGCACGTTCCATAACCTGTCTTACCAGCAGTCGCGGCTGTATGCCATCGCTACTCGCGGTGTTTACGTCTGCGAGGCTGCAGGCTCCTTCAAGCTGGAAAACACCCTCTCAGGATGGATCATCGACTCGGTGGACAAGCGACCCACTCGCAATCTCGATGAGTTCGTGGAAGTGATGCGAACAATCCCCGATCGTTCGCGCGTGGTGATCTCGTATCGGCATATTCGCGATCTCCACACCCGCGGCACCAGCATCGTCTATATCGATCGACACTGGCACCCGAAGATGCGACTGGCTGTGCGCAATGACAACTCCGGTCTGTGGGACTTTTCGGACCTCGCGGACCCTATCCCAGCTCTTCCTCCGGTTCCGAGGAAAGCCGATTTCATCCAACTCGATGGCGTTAGCCAGCCTGCTGCGGCCGACATTGTGCGCAGCTTCGTACGGGTATCCTGTACGATGCCCCTGAAGCTGGACGGCTACCCCCAGGCCAAGAAGACCGGGTTCGGATTGGTCGTTGATGCAGACAAGGGTTTGGTGGTTGTATCGCGCGCGATCGTGCCGTACGACCTCTGCGATATCAACATCACGGTGGCCGACTCCATCATCGTGAACGCTAAAGTAGTTTTCCTGCATCCGCTCCAGAACTACAGCATCATTCAGTACGACCCAAGCCTGGTGCAGGCACCGGTTCAGAGTGCCAAACTCAGCACCGACTACATCAAGCAGGGACAGGACACGATCTTCGTGGGATTCAATCAGAACTTCCGGATTGTTGTGGCCAAGACCGCCGTAACCGACATCACTACTGTTTCTATTCCAGCCAATGCCTCCGCACCGCGCTACCGTGCGATCAATTTGGACGCCATCACTGTGGATACCGGACTCAGCGGGCAGTGTTCTAACGGTGTTCTGATTGGCGAGGACGGTGTGGTGCAGGCATTGTGGTTGAACTACCTTGGAGAACGTACGTCCAATTCGCACAAAGATGTGGAATACCATCTAGGATTTGCGACCCCATCTCTTCTTCCTGTCCTGTCGAAGGTGCAGCAGGGAGAGATGCCTAAACTGCGGATTCTGAACATGGAGAGCTACGTGGTCCAGATGAGTCAAGCTCGCATCATGGGCGTGTCGGAGGAATGGATTGAGAAGGTGACGCAAGCTAACCCATCGCGGCATCAGCTTTTCATGGTGCGCAAGGTCGATTGCCCACCGCCTGGATTCAACTCGGCGGCCGACACGTTCGAGGAGGGTGATATCATCCTGACCTTGGACGGACAGCTGATCACCCGCGTCTCTGAGTTGGATATCATGTACGAAAAGGATACGCTGGAAGCACTGATTGTCCGAAACGGACAAGAAATGCGGATCCAGGTGCCAACTGTCCCAACGGAGGACCTAGAGACTGACCGTGCCGTCGTGTTCTGTGGTGCTGTGTTGCAGAAACCACACCATGCGGTCCGTCAGCAGATTTCCAAGCTGCACAGCGAAGTCTACGTCAGCGCAAGAGTATGCTCCCCTCCCTCCGGCCTTTGCCACTGCCATCTAGGTAACTAACCATCCATTTTACAGAGTCGTGGATCCCCCTCCTACCAATATGGCCTAGCCCCAACCAACTTCATCACCGCCGTGAACGGTGTCCCCACCCCGAACCTGGACCGCTTCTCCGAAGAAGTGAGCAAAATCCCCGACAACACATATTTCCGCCTTCGCGCGGTAACATTCGACAATGTGCCGTGGGTAGTGACCATGAAGAAGAACGATCATTACGTATGTCACAATCCCCCCTATCTTTTCTCTACCAAATCCCGAAAAACGTGGTAAACTAACACATCTATTACCAGTTCCCCATGTCCGAGTACATCAAAGACCAGTCCCAGCCTTCCGGCTGGCGGACCGTGTCTCACGACAAGGATAAATATAAAGATGGCATTGCGCCGGATGCTGCGAACCTGAACCCGGATGCCATGGACGAAGGGTTTGATGGAGTCAGTGATATCGAGCCGGATCTGGAGTGAGTGCAGGGCGGACTGTATAGTATTCTGTGATGAGCATGGCCGTGTTAGATGTGTATACCAGACATGGCTTTTGGAAAACGTAAAAAGAAAGTGAAAAATGGGAAAATGATAGACATTCTTAGTTGCTTGTGCAGAGGTGTAGATGATGTATTGTTTGGGATGGTCACTTGATGGGATGTAGTGGCTCGACTGAGATGATGTTGGAGCTTATCTGGTTTGTTCGGTGTAGGTCCCTTGACAAAATCTACAATAAGTGTATTACATGACAATCTAAGCCTAAGAGGATTGATTAACAAATGACACTACGAAAATACAACAGATCCTTGTGAAAGAAAGCATTCATTATGAAAAGGTTTGATTTAGTTGAATTAGATTCATTGCACGGGAAGTCCATATCCCTTCCACCAATAAGCGCTAAAGGTACTCAACCTCTTTTCCGAGACAATAGTATATCCAGACCGCTGATTGCCTTTTGTCCTTCTTTGAACGCACCTGATCACGAATGTGTTCGAGTATACATGAGCATGAGCTTTGCCCACTTGCGTTTCGTTATCGATGTGTTGATGATAGTGACGAAGATGAATGAATCATCACAAGAGGCAGACAGACCTTTGGGGATAGAAAGATAACGTGACAAAACAACCATATAACCAAAAGACTCATCAATGCACTCTGACAGATACGAAAACACAGTATCCAAAAGAGATAAGATTTGTCAAGATCTAACAGACAATAACACCTCTTCCAAAGGGATCCACAACCGGTGGAATCGCTTCATACTCAATCCTACTCCTATGCCCCTTAACCGCAGCAACGCACAACTCCAACGCCGTAAGATCCCCACAGCGCGATGTCGCGATCTTAGAGCTAGGCACTAATCCCCCGACCCTCTCCGTCTCCATCTTAGCCGTTATCTCGTACCCGCACATTTCCACCTCCAAAAGAACTAGTCCCTCCAACTGCCCCAGCTCAGACAGCACATCCTCCCACGTCCCAGCAGTCAACGACACTCCACGGAATGCTACATGTCGTAGCGTCTTATGAAAATGTCTTAGCCCGCGCAGCCTCTTCGCACTAACCGAGACATTCTCGAGTGTGAAAGACCGCAACGGCGCATCTGGATGGACGAGAGATGGACATGACTTGGCAGTCATGTTTCTGCCGTCCATTTGGCCAGAAAGCTCGACTGAGACGAGACGTCGGGCGTGTCTGAGAAGGCTGAAGATCGCGGTTGGTTCGCGCTCGAAGAGCGACGATGCTGAGGAGTAGTATGAGAGTTGGATGTGGCGGAGGCGGGCTATCACGGGGTGAGGGATATGCTGTGCTGTGGCTGGATATAAGGTATCGTTGTCACAGTCGTAGAATTGGGGAGAGTTATGTTGAAAGTCGATTTCTTGGAGGAAGGGAGGGGGGTAGGCTTCTAGACAGTGGACGAGGAGGTTGGCGAAGTGGCGGGAGAGGTTCTCTTGGTCTGGGGTGCCGTTCTTTATGGTTTGGTATTCCAGGCGGCGGAGGCGGACGAGACGGGGGAGGGTGGTGGAGAGAAGGTTGATCCATTGTTGGATGATGTCGGGATTAGTTAGGATGTGGTCCCAGGGAGGTCGGCATTCGATGATTAAGGTGCGTATATATTGACTGATGTTGCTTTGGTGGAGGACGTTCAGGTCGGAAAAGGGACTGTTATTTGTGCTGTCTTCGATGTAGACAGTGCAGTTGGTGAAGAGGGCTCGAGAGGCAGCAGCACAGAATGACCGGCTCACCTGGCGAAGGGTCCTAAGATGCCCCTTGCCATGGTATTTGGAGTTGGCTGTGGCGTAATCGGCAATCTGAAGCTAATGGTTACGATCTGGGTGGCAAGAAGCTGCTGTACTGGAACTTACGCTCTCTTGAATCTCCAGGGGGAGGTGGATGGATGTCTGTGGCGTAAGGGCAGACATTTTATAGTATAAAGATATGGCAAGGAGTTGATTTAATAATACACTGACGATAGGTCTTTGGGACGGGGATTCGCAGAGTCAAGGGAGAAGATGGAAGCCCCAAATTAGGAGAAAGCGGTCGCTGTTATAAAGGCCCCCAGGAGTATGCGTATCATGGTGAGGCAGTGACATGTATCATCTAGGGGTTACGTCCTGGAACGTAACGATGCAATGTCTGACTCACCCACTGATTGTTTTTCTGTTTCGTTGACGAGATGATGATGATGATGCGGACCCGTATTGGGTGCCGGTTTGTACCTCATAGTGACTGGCAGTAATTGCATACATGTCGGGGTTATGCTGACGCCGATATTGGATTTTGAGACATGCTGTGCATAGCAGAGAACTATGATTGGATCTGTGAAGATATGTTCTGGGACCATATGTTGTCTATAGTATATAGTAGGCTGGGAGCCTCCGTTTCTGCAATAACTTGATAGATGGGTTTTGGTCGACTTGTTAGCGCGCCGGTATAGTGTAATGTCAAAGAACAGTCCATATTGACTCCAAAGCAATAATCACGGAAGTAGTAATATGACAGAGAAGGAAATAAGCAGGTGTTTAATTCTCAGATCGTCAATGGGTGGTCTGTGGGGTATATAGAAAGACGTCAACAGCTGAACACAGGGTTGTTTCGAGCAACTGCTCAAAGAAAAATTGATAAGAACATCGAGGCTCAGTTCAAAAGAGTATACAAGGTAAGTTCCAAACAAATATTGCTGCTGGAACGGTATCTCAAGTGGAGTAAATGGAAGAGTTTGTGTTGGTACCATAAAGCAGGACAGTAAACAAAGAATGGTTAGTGTAGCTGCGAATGTGACAGTTGGATATAATGCGTCCGTTGTAGGAAGTGCGTTCATAGTCTAGGCGTCATCATAGGATGTTATATACAACGGCTATCAGCCGCAGAACCTCAGTGGGTATATAATAGAAGAGCCGGTCCAGGCAGCATGTATACATGCTCAACTTTGGGCTCGACTCGAGAATGTCGCGGGACTGATCGCAACATAGGCGAATGGACAGCCGTCCACTCAAATGGCCCTGGCATAACCCAGCGGCTTCCAACATCTGCAATAGACTCAGACAACCGATTGGTTTCAAGTCTCCTTGCGCGCCTTCATCTCAGCAATGAACTTAGCGCTCTTGCTGGTCGGCACAATGTAAATCTTCACCAACTCATCCACAACCTCAACCTTTCCACCACTAAGGATCTGTACCAATGGCACCTTCTTGCCAGCGCGGATCAAACCACCGGTAACCGTCTCCATGAAGCACTCCACCGTATTGATCTTGTACTCTCCCTTCTGATCCCACGGCAACGGGAAGATGTAGTCGAGATGATCCTCGATCGAATGCATTTCGGAGAACGCCTTGATGAAATCCGTCTGCGCATCCATATGGTACAGGAACACAGCCGGGAACTCAAGCGTACTCTCCGGCGACAAGGGATCGGGCGAAAGTCTGATGCCCACGTCCTCCATCTCAGGCGGCTGATCCGTCTTGCGAGTACGGATCTGGCGCGCCTTCAGCGCAACACTAAGCAGCGTCTTCTCCTTACGCGTGCGCTCATCCTCGGCCTTCTTCCTCGCTGCGATGCGCTCAAGCACAGCCTTGCGCTCGCCGATCTTTCCAGCAACCATCTGAAGAGCCTTGTTGTTCGGATCCAGCTTCAATCCCCGGGACGCCACATCCTCCGCCTCGACAATCTTATCCAGCGAAAACAGCGCCATGGCGGACCGATAGTACGCTTTCACGTTCTTTGGGTTCAGCTTCAGCACGGCTGCGCAGTCGAGGGTCGTAGATCGGTAGTTTTCTATCCACATTAGCAACCTCGCTCCCTACTTCAGGACACGAAAAAACACCTACTCAGTTCCAAATGGCACAGCGCGCGATTGATATAGCACGCCTCCTCGACCTCCCTCCGCAAACGGGCCTCCTCCTTCTCATCCTCAGGCTTATCCCACTTATCCTCCTTGGCCAGCAAGACCGCAATACCCTTGGAGTAGTGCTCCTTCGCATCAGCCCAGCGCTTCTCCCGAGCAGCTTCGTTTCCTTGTTCACGGAAGTTCTGCGCGACATCGCCGCGGGTACCCTCGTTCTGGAGCGCGCGGATCGCATCAAGGAAAGGGTTTTCGCCATCTACCCACATACATACCCCGTTAGCCTATCATCCAGCCAAGATGTTTCCAGAGATGAAATTAGGGAGGAAAACTAACTCTCATCATACGCCTTGTTGATATCCGTCATGAACAGCGGCGTGCGGTTCAGGATATCCGCCAGCTCGTCTGTCGTGTGCGTGCTCACGGCCTCCATGGCAGGCGGCATTTGAGGTGCCATGGGGTCCGCGCCCGCATTCAGGTCTTTGAGGCGCTCTTCCTTGATAGGGATGGGGAGCTCCTCCGGGGGAGGTGGGGTGAATTCATCTTTGGCTTCGGTCGCGGGGGGTTGAGGCTGCTTGTTGACTTCGAGCGACTCGTCGTAGTCGTCGGGGAGTTCTTCTATTTGGCCCATTTTGGTTCAATGTGAGGTTATGAACCTGAGAAGGAGATGTGTTTCGTTTTGGGGTGAGGGGGATTGGAGATGATCGTCATGGAAAAGAGGAATTTGCTGTTATCGGAGATGCAAACCATGCAAACTGGTGGGGAGGGGTTAGCCCTTATCTTATCTATTGATGGATCAGGTATGGTTGATGGATGTGGTTGTTCGCGATGGGTGGGATTGTAGTTGTCAGGTAGCAATAATGCGTATTCTTCTCTTCTTTGATTGTAAATTAGTTCCTGCTGGTAGGTCGGAGATTGGCGAAGGGCATTGCAGTGTACGGCAGATGCCGTCAATTCTAGATTATCCGGACACGACCCTACAAAGAGGATCGTTCATCTAGACAAGACCCCCCACAATGGATGAAGAGTGGCTACAAAACCAAGACATGGTAGACCAAGAATGGTCAGGTGCAGTTGGTGCTAGCTGGTTGCGAAATTATCCTTCTTAAATCAGGTATCGCTGGGGAAAACACCTGGCCTGGAGGGAAACTTGCGACTTGGGACGGGATATATAACGGGAAGTAGAGACAGTCAGGTGAATGAAGGCAATGAAACAATAGACGAGTCCTCAATATCATTCTCTTTCAACTCATCGAGATTCACAATTTTATTCACTTCATAATACATTACTTACGGAAGCCACCGACACAGCCATCCCCATTCACTAACAGCTTCAATGATGTCTCAATTGTCTTTCACATGTGTAACTTTAACCATGTCATTTGATCTATACGATTACTCTGATGGGAGTATCAGTCGAAGTTCACCATATATAGTGTATAGGAATGATTATAAAAGGTACCTTCGTGTCACTCTCAAGTACATGCTACTCCTTAGTAGTGAGCACGTTATTACCACTCAGAACCCTAATATCACATCTCTTTGTTCCCCTTGTTTCTGCTGCGATACCTAGTATATCCTAGTATATCCTTGCGTTATATTAGGCTACCCAATACCCCATCCACATCAACTGCCCAGTTCTGTATCAGCGCAGCCACATACGCAACTGTGGCATTCACTCATGTCTCGCAACTTCCACCCCGTCAATGCCAACTCGCCCTTCACCACTACTCTCACCTCAGACCCCGACATTAATCCCTCCCTCGAAGACAACAGCAACAATAATACCACCATCCAACCCTACCTCTTTCGCCCAGGTGTGCCTACCAATACCAGCTTCACCAGCAACGATCAAACCCTCGTGGACAACTGCTCCAACATTGAGGTCTCACAACTTGTCACTGAGGCAAACCGCTTCTGGGGCAATTACTCAACGACCATCCCCAACATCGAGACAGGTCCATCAGCTGCAGAATACCCAGCCACATACATGATGGGTAATTATGACCATGGCTATGGCGATCAAAACATGCACGAGACATCCGTGCCATACGGTCCGTGCGACCACTTCCAGGTGGCCGGGACAGGAATGGACATGGGAATGAGAATGACTGGCATGAAAGGAGAGGACGAGGATGACATGTACAATGCCAACCAAGCCTCAATGCTTGCCGCGTTGGGCATGACTCACCTCGATGAGGGAGAATCTCATGCAGTGGAAGATGACGCCAAAACTTCGTCGTCGGTTACAGTTGACGATGATCCCGAGTGGAAGGAGTGGAAGAAGTGGAATGAGACGGACGCGAATGGGGGAGTCAGATTACCTTCGGAAGAGAGGATGGACCAAGCAGCAACACCCGCTTGGGTGGATATGGGTTGTGAAGAGAGAAAGACGAACGAGGGATTCATGTCCTCGAGGGAGAAGATGGATCAAGCAGGCGTTGCTGCTTGGTTGGATATGAACCGCGAGGAGGACCACGGGGTCTTCCAAAATGATGAAAGCGATGACTATGACGAAGACGATATCACATCTTACGCATCCGACGATGACATGATGGAAATGGGAGAAGAGACGGAGTATGAGGAGGAGGATGAGGAAGTTGTCAACGTGGTCGAGGGCCCTTCAAGACAGGTCCTTATCAGTTCCCAGACAGGGGCTGTTGCTGAGTACAATACAGCAAGCTTTGGATGTGACTTTGAGACCGAGGAAGAAGAAAAAGAAGAAGAAGAGCAACACAACGAAGAAAGATGGGGTGGAGAGGGACAACCTCGTCCGTCCCCATTTCCTTGCTTCTACGACGCTCGATCGGGGCTTATCATCGAGCTTTCCTCATCCGAAAGTGACGCCGAAGAGACCATGTCAGACCCCTCTTCCAACAACGATGTCGAAGAAACAATGTCAGACCCATCTTCCTCATCCACCTCTTCCTCCTCATCACCAACCTCAGAAACCCCCCAAGCATACGCCCTCCCCTGGCCCACCTCACCGTCCAACTTGAGCACTACCACTACCACTAGCAGCACCAGCACCAGCACCAGTACCCCGTCAGAGACAACCCCGCCACCATCATCGCAACCCGT